CTAGAGATATAATATGACGCCGTAAAAACAATTTCTGCTCTCAAATTATTATTAATTTTTCATAGTTTAATAAATCCGTTCTCCTGTCCTTGATTTTCATTTCTATAATTTTTTCTTTTTTTTTTTATATATATTGAACTCTCGGTATTCGATAATTACATTAGGTCTTAACTAATTCAAAATCAAATCGGGTTGAATCTCATAAAAAAAAAGTTATCTCGGTCCCTATTTCTTTATTTACAAGACTTGAACGCAAAACCTTATTTAAGAAAATCAATCTTCTTTTACTTGAATTAACAGGTCAGTGATATAATTTCTTCTTCTTCTTTTCCTTTAGGACTTAATTACTGCTTTTGTGTTTAGTCTTTTTCCAAAAATAGAAAAGAAACCGCTCTCTCTTGGTGGTCGTTGGCTGTTCCTCAACTGTATCCGACCCGTCACTGACTTTCCACTCATTTAATTAAGTCTGCGGTATCCGGCACGTTTCTTCTTTCACTATACTCCAATTCTCCACTTCTTCTGCTGCCTATCTTTGCTTTCTCTCATTCCTCTTCTGTTCCTAGTTTCTTGATTCTTGCCACTTGAGTTGCTTTTTGTCTTTTCACACTACTACTTCAGTGTGTCTTCTTCAAAGAAATTCTCGAATTCCTTTCAAGATGCTTTGCGTGAAGAACTATGGACATGTATGGTAACCATAAAGCCCTTCTATGTACTTAACATTCTTAAAATAATATTAAAATATATAATAACAGGTTCTCACTCAAATCAGAATATGAAATTGAGACCACAAATATAAATATTTAAATTCTCAAGCAGTTGAAACATCACATAAGGGATATAAAACTTTTTATATATTTAATTATCTTTATATCATACCTCTAAGAGAGTGACTCAATGGTTAAAAAATTAAGATTTTAAGTTTAAGATTTCACAAATTTGAATTTTAAGTAAGGTAAAAAGAGATTTAAAAAAAATAAAAAGTTATAATTTTTTATATAACCCATTATTATTAAACGTACTAAAAAAACTATCTTGATATTATATAATGATAAAGGATTAGGAAAATAATTTCTTGATAATGTTTATAATAAAATTTTATAATATAATATGACATATGACATATCTTTTAATTATTCTAATTAATTGGGGGTGGAACCCATGATTTAATATACATTTACTTATTTAGTGTTATATAAACATTATAGAATTAACAATAAATTTTTGTTATCAAAAATCACAACTGTAAAATATTATTCCTTTCTTTCAGTTTTTTCTGCTCACTTATTTAATTTCTTCAGTATTTATATATGAATGACTTGGAGAGTCGGGCATTTCCAAGTTTCTAAGTTCAAGAGACATGGCAGAGAGCAGTGAGCCGAGGAGATGGGAAATAACATGGGGTGGTTTTGTGGTGGAGCTGAAGAAGGCAGTTGCTCTCACAGTACCGATAGTGGCATCAAGGATATTTAATTACCTCATGCAGGTTGCATCGGTTATAATTGTTGGACATCTCGGACAGCTTCCTCTGTCGAGCGCCGCCATCGCCACCTCCCTCACCAATGTCACCGGATTTAGTCTTGTTGTAAGTCTTTTAATTATTTTAGAATAAAAAATTATTTACACATAAATTTATACACTACATTTATATAGAATTTAAGTTTTGACCATTAATATTTCTATTTTCAATTATTGAAATTTATTATAATTTTTTAAGTAAAAAAATAATTATCTTTAATAAATATAAATAAATCTCAACTATTGAACAATTATTAAAAATAAAAGAGAGAAATTATTAAAACTTTACATAAATATAATATGTAAAATTTACATTTAAATAAATCCTACTCTTTATTTTAAGATCGGACTAAAATTTAGGTTTTCATTTAGAAAAGGTTTGTCTTTGGTTGTAAAAAGATTTTTTTTTTTTTTAAATTTATGCAAATGAGGTCTTTTTTTGCCATAGAAATTGCATCAAACTATGAAATGGTAACTATTAAATAGAAACATTGCAATATCAAGGGGTCCTTCACTATCCTTTAGTTTAAATTATGCAATTTAGGTGGAAATGTGTAAATAAAGATACTAACTTTATTTTTTTATTTAAAAATGTTAATTTTGTTAGTTTTTAAATAAATATTTAAATTTTTAATTTTTTTTATTTAAAAATATCAATTTTTAATTTTTTTATTTAAAAATGTTAAATATTTTAAAAAAAGCCATTTGCACATTAAAATCACCATCTAATTAATTTTTAAATAGAAAAAATTAAAAAAAATTAACATTTTTAAATAAATAAAGTTAAAATTGACATTTTTAAATTAAAATTTTAAAAATTGACATTTGTATTTAGAAACTAAAAAAATTAATATTTTTATATACACATTTTCTATACAATAAAGTACAATTCAAACTAACCAACATTTTTTTATGCAAATTCATTGCACATGTGTGGGGAGTTTATTTCTACTAGAATTTTTCATGATCTGTGGACTGTTCTAGAGTCCTTTTTTTTTTTTTGCGCCACCATTCCTAACGTCGGTTTAGTATAAATTTACGGAAAAAAAATCCTCCATTTAATAGAGTTGTAATTTTTAGTTTTAATTTTCATAAATTTTACAGAAAAACAAAATTAGAAATTAAAATTTATTGTAACAATTTATTTAATACAAATATTAACACCACCAATAGAAAATATAAATTTATTTAATAGTATTAGCATTATTTTTATCTTTTCTCCATCTATCGTAAAATAACTATCATTTTTTGAACTTAATATAGTATTAAAACCAAAATTAAAATAGGAATCAACAATAGGTTAATAAAAATGTTATCCTTACAATATTATATAAGATTATAAATTTATAACATAATGTGCCATTAATTATATAAGTGGCTTTTTTTATATATAATATTACAATGAAATCCTAAATAAAAAAATTAATTATATAATGAAACATTACATCATAAATTTATAATGTCATGTAACATTGTAATTATAATATTTTTATTAACTAATTTTCAATTCTTATTTTTAATTGTGGTTCTTTTTTATTAATTTTGATTATTCAAAATTTGATCTCGAAACAAAAAATTAATAACAATAACATTACTAAATGGGTACTAATGTGTTTGATGTAAATGAATTTCTTATAATAATTAAAAAAAATTCCTATAATAAATTTTAAATCTTAACACCCTAACACTTTAGATATTGAATTCTAAAAATTTTAAACCCGAACATTTTTAACATTTAAACCTTAAAAAATTTTAAATCCTAACATCTCAAGCCCTAAACCCTAATACTTCAAATACTAAACCTAAAATATCTAAATTCTAAACTCTAAACTATAAAAATTAATGAATCAAAATTTTTAAGCATAAAGACCATTCAACAAATAATCAAAAATAAAACATGGACGGACAGGTTGTCCCCGTCAAACGCACGGTTGGTACGTATGGTGACTTACATTAACTCATGAAAGGTTAATTTCAAGAACACCAGCAATTTTAAAGAAAAAGACCTTGCCAAAGCCTCGTTTGTGCACCCCTGAAAACCATTTCTTCTTTTTTCTTTTTTTTTTTTCCAGTATTCACTAAAATTTGAAGTCACAGAACTTGGAAATGATATATAACATTTTCATTCATTTCTTGACAAATGACAACTACGGAACTTTCTATTTAAAAATATTTACAAGGAATCTATCACGAGGCAATTAATATGATGATAATTCTTTTTGAATTTTGTTTTTGGTAAATCAGTCAGGAATGTCTGGTGCCTTGGACACTCTATGCGGACAAGCTCAGGGAGCACGACAATACCAGAAACTTGGAGTGTATACCTACAGTGGCATAATCTCCCTTACTCTGGTTTGCCCTCCAATCTGCCTCCTCTGGATCTTCTTTGACAAATTGTTGCCTCTTGTAGGCCAAGATCCCACAGTCTCACGTTATGCTCGCAACTTCTCCCTCTGCCTAATTCCATCACTCTTTGGATCTGCAATCCTTAAAGCCATAATAAAGTACTTGCAAACTCAGAGTTTGACTCGTCCAATGCTCCTCAGCTCCTTCTGTGTTCTATGTTTACATGTGCTTGTATGCTGGCTTCTTGTGTTCAAATCAGGATTAGGGTATCTTGGTGCAGCAGTGGCATCTAGTTTATCTACTTGGCTGAATGTGGCAATCATTGGGTTTTATATAAAATTCTCCCCTGCCTGTAGAAGAACACGCGTACCATTGTCCAAGGAAGCCTTTCAAAATATTGGGAAATTCTTTCGGCTTGGTATTCCCTCAGCTATAATGATCTGGTAATAATTCTCTTCTTGTTTCACCTCATAGCTACCTAGAGTACCTTCATTTGAAAATACGTTTTTTGTTTTAATCAAATGGTTATAGATGTTTGTTTTGATCTACTTGAAATTTATCATATATGATCTACATAAATAGAGAATCGACAATTGATTTTTTAAGATATCTATTTAACTATTTTGGGAACTACAAGTGTGTGGAAAAGTAGCTTATTCTGACACATATAACACGTGTACTTGATCTTAATTCTATATATAAACTTTCTCTTTACAATTACTAACCCTTTTGTGCTACTGGATATATATAAGCCTTAAATGGTGGTCAGTGGAGCTGTTAATCTTGCTGTCAGGCCTCTTACCAAATCCAAAGTTAGAGACATCTGTGCTATCCATATGGTATTTTTACTTTGGACCTGGTATTTTTGTTGCTGTACTTGTACTGATAAAATTGATTAGTGATTATTATTATAAAATTAATGTAGAACAAGAAAATAACATCTGATATTTCTCATTATGATCTCATCAGCCTCACAATCTCCACTCTACACTTCACTATAGCTTATGGAGTTGGGGCAGCTGCAAGGTAACGCATTGTGCCTATCTTCTGCCTTTATCTATTAGCTAAGCTTTCAAGTCAAACTATTCTTGA